CTAAAGGAGCTAGTCTCGAAATAGAAATTAAATTCTTTGAAAAACTGGGAACATAAAAGGTCTTTTCCAATTGTAAAATAAAACCGCTGCTTAAAACAAAATTGCATGTCCCAATGGCTTCAACATGTGAACTTATTCTTCCTCCTGAATAGATGCATTGTTCACTTGCCACTGGTTTCCTTAGGTTTTCCATACCCTGCAAGGTATTAGAAACATGGATTGTAGAACCGGAATCAATCCACCATGTGTTGTGAGTAATATTAACCATATTAGATTCATAACACACAAAAACTAATGGAGTACCTTTCTTTTCGAGCCAGCCCTTGAATTTAGAGCATTCTTTCTTCGTGTGTCCCTTTTTCTTGCAAAAGAAACACTTCGACTCTTTCTTAATGACTGTCTGTGGAGGGATGCTACCTTTACCTTTGGCATGATCTTTCCTTTTCTTTTCATGAAAAGTTAAGTTCACCCATTCACCCTCTTCCATCATCAACCTCTCCTCCTCCTGAACACACATGGTCAGTAGCTCATTAATTGACCATTTTCCTTATGTGTGTTGTAGGAGATCTTAAAAGGAGCATATTGGTGTGGAAGAGTGTAAAGGATGTAGTGAACCAGAAAAGCATCCGACATGGTTACCTCCAAAGCTTTCAACTGAGCCGTTATGTCCCTCATGCGCATGATGTGTTCACGCACGCCTCTTATCCCAGTGAGCTTCATGGTTGCGAACTGCATGATTAAGGTGCTGGCAAGGGCCTTATCAGATGTAGCAAATTGCTCATCAATAGCCTTCAAAAGGTCCTTGACTTTAGTATGCTGATCGACAGAACCACGGATACCGGCAGTTATTTTGGTCTTTATGAACATTACGGAGAGACGGTTAGATTTATCCCACTTTTCATAAAGATCAACTGCATCCGGAGTGCTGGTTGCCGTTATAGCTGGTGGTTCGTCTTTCCTTATAGCATAGTCAATGTCCATCCAGCCCAAATGAAGGAGCACATGCTCCTTCCAAACCTTATAGTTATCGTCCCTTAATTCGGGAATGTCACATTTCATATCAGAAACATTTGCAGGTTGAACAACTGTAAAATATAATATATACATGCTCATTATTAATATTTGAGGTAAAATTCAGTTCATATTCTACCAATGCAAAACATGATTAACTATGAGTCTAGTGACATAAAACTTACCTGTGGGCTAAAGTTTTACTCAATTAGACACATAAAGCAAACATTTTGATAAAACTGTTAGATTATATTTCCTTTCTCAATGCCTGTGGGTAGTTTGAGAAAAATAATCCAATATTTCATCCTAACTAATCATACTTATACAATGAAATTCATGTGGTCAGGTTCCATTATGTCACATATAATTAATTACAAGTAATGCCTTAATGTGATTCAGAAACTTGATATGAAATTTAATCAATCAAAGATGTTGTTGCTATTCTTTAATTCATTAAACTACATTTCAATTCCAGATTTCCAGCCAAGTTTCATTGAACTAAAAGGAATAAACAACATTCTGGAGTACTATAAATCACTTGTAGCATTTAGGTTCCATTACAATTTCAAAACAAAGGTGCAGTTTGTAAACAATGGAGTATACTGCTCATACAAAAATATAAATTGGGATTGTTGCACTAGTGAATAATCTGGATCACTAGACTAGGGATTTAGAATTGAACTTTAAATCTTTAATATGGGAATAAGACACAAACAAAATCACTAACAATGTGAAATCCGAATGCTCGCAGAGGTAATTTTTTTTTCCATACTTGCAGAGCAAAGAGATGACATATAGAATTCTACATCATCATACCTAATCAGATTTCAGTTTTATGGCATAAAGTGCATTACGGCACTTACATATTATGTAGATTTAAAGTTCAATTTTCTAAGAAAATAACAAACACTTTAAGGCACTAACACAAACACTTTAAGGGCATAGAAAAGCAAGCTTCAAAACTCAGCTTTAAGCATAAATCAGGGCAAAAATCAATGATAATCATGATGCAAAACAAACTGATCATACACCAACGAACACGCATCTTATATAAACACATGTATACGAACAACAGTTAATAGGTTTAAACAGAGTTTATAAATCTGCGAATGAACTGCTGCCATATACTTAATCATAAGATAAGGCACAGAACTGATTGTAATTAAACGATGAGTCAGAATATAAAATCTGATTGCAACTCAATGATTGACACTCACCTCAGGATTCATATATTAATATATATGCTACGAATAAAATCTGGGAATGGGTTCAAACTGTAATTAATCAATCACATACGAAACATGCATGCTCAAATGAAATTACAGAAGGAAAGGCAGAGATGATAACCAGTTGCTCATATACCAAATGTAAAAACAGACTGATCTAAACATGCTATACACATACTGCATGATTCAGATCAGTATAGAAGTAAGCGGAAGCAGGATATAGTCAATACACACCTCCAGCCATTTCCTTGAACACAATGAACTGCCCTTTTGTTTTGCTCTTCCAATCCCTTCTCTTTCACTAGATTTAGATGGTGTGTATACTGATAGTGAGGAGCAGACTCAGGGGTTCCAAAACAAGAGCTAACCGCTGCTATTTATTGAGTTATGTCCATCGAAGAACTCCCAACGTGCAGCGCCAAAATGGAGGAGATGTTACTGATCTTTTCTCATTTAGTTGAGTTGGAATAGTGAGTAATCCTTATCTAATAAATGGATCACTTCAAATTAGTTTTTCCCTTTAAATAAATGTACTTTATTTTCTGAATAATTAATATTAAAATATTAATTAAATAAAACGTAACTTACGGTCAAAACTAACATCGCCGTTACCCTGTGCAAACCAGGAGAGGAATAACGAACACCGCGGAGGTGCTGCTGCAGAGCGGCTGAACCGACCGTACGCCAAAACAATGTAGCAATGTTCACCGGACTGATCTACTTTTACACCGGCACCTGGAATCCATGTACTCGCCGGAAGAGGGAGAGCTGACCATCGTGTTTCCGCCGCTACAGGTTGGCCTGTCACCGTCGGGGGAAGAAAAACCTTCTGCGCCGACCGGCTGAGTTTGATCGACGAAGAAGACAGACGAAGGAGACGGTATCGTATGACTACTCCCGCTGTTTTAAATTATAAGTTGGGTGGCTTATGAAAGAAAATTCTAATTAATGGTTGGGTTGGTTGGATAATCATCAATAAATTGCTCTGTATAATGGAATTGCTCTGTATAATCATCAATAAATTGCTCTGGCACAACCGAAAAAAAACACTCAAAATCGCAATTGGGTTAATCAAAAGTGGACTCATTAATCTCAAATTATAAATTATTAATCCTAGAAATTTCAATATTCTTAGAAGGTGATTAATTAGAGACCGAGTTAGAAGACACGGACTGAATAGGAGCGTCATCAATTTTGAGATAAGTTTCTTTGCCAATCCAAAATTGTTTCCTCGTATTATATCCTTATCATGCATTATTACGTGATTAAGTGTGAATTTTGAATTGTGTGTATGTAATTTTGAGGAATACAAATTAAAAGTACTTTTTGGGGTATTAAATATTTTTAAATACCTTTGAGACTATTTAGAGAGAGAGAATTATTTTTAGAAGTATATCTTGATTCAAGATAAAATTAAGGATTTTATAATATGTGAACACCCGGGAGAAATCTGTGATGTCGGTTTTCCACATCCGAATAAATGTGGAGGGTGGTTATAGCTATATACCGCGGGTTTAGTTTAGGTTGATTATTGGTGGCGGGAGAAATCCCGGTAAATATTGGTGGCGGGAGATTCCCGGTATTTCTTTTGAGAACTTTAAAAGTTCTTTGGTGGTCGCGGTAGTAGTTTCTAATTACCTGGATATCTAACCCATTGTGAGGTAGCGGGACGTTATCCGAACTACTTGGACTTCTTACTACTCAGGGAGCTTGGAATCCCTTTTAGGGAGTGTGCACACTTAAGGGTGAAGTTCAGTTTTCAATTGGTGGTCGGTGGAAGCCAGAATTCCGGGACGAGTCGTACACAACAACGATTCATTGGGATCGAGGAATCTTGAGTTTCGCCCATCTTAAAAGAATCTAAGAGTGACATTGATTTTGGAATGGTGATATTTTTAGTTAGAGAAGAGTTCTTTGAAAAGTGATACTTTTAATCGAGATGTGAATTGTTTGGAGCTTATAAGTATTATTTTAAACTATACGGGTATTTGAGGTTATAAAGTTGATATATGATGTTTTTGATTTGAAAAGAATTTTGGTGGTGTGAGTATTTTTATATAGTATTATATGAAAAACTATTTTCGCCAAACCTGATTATTTTACGGGGTTGGGTAGTACTTACTTAGCTCTAAAACAAATTTTTGTTATTTTTCTTGTTTCTTTCTCCTCCCTTAATTTTTAACAGGTGATGATGAGTTGGAAGCTTATGTTGACTGATTGGTTGCTTGAACCTGAGAGCGATTTAGAAGATACCTTAGTCAAACCTAGTCAAGAAATAAACATTTATTTATTATGACATTAGTTTTATTGTTTTGTTTTGGTTTGCCTATGCATTCGGTTAAGAGATGATCGGATGTGGCAGTAACACCCATTTCCCTATTAAGACTTCCGCAGTATCTCTGATGTTTCCAAATAAAGTTGATAATTTCTTTGAATAAATCATTATTTAAACGTATTTTTGGGCGGGAAATTTGGGGGTGTTAGAGATGGAGCAGTCTCTCGCTACCAGTTGAGCTATGCCCACCGGTAGGAGCCGTTCGGTGGCAGCATTTCCTCACAAAAATGTACTCCCTCCGTCCCTTATAACTTTTCCAACTTTTCTTTTTTAAATGTCCCACTAACTTTGCCACTTTCCCTTTTAAATAAAGAATTTGTGGTTCCACTTCATTCTCTCTCCTCTGTACAAACCTCAACCACACAGTTTTTACGTTATTATTCCTCGCGTCGGTAAAACTTGTCAAAGTTATTAAGGATAGAGGGAGTAATTTTTCTCATTTATAGAGGACCGAGTCCATCAATATCTCAGTGCTTGACTCTTCGACAGCCCAAACTGCACACTACCAGAGGAAAAGTAAAAAAAGAAAGACAGAATGATACGGAGTACGTAGTATCCGATATGAAAATGGAGGAAAGGACCACTCTCGATCACCCTACGGCCCTTTTCCGGTTTCTCGTTTCTCTACAATGACCAATCTACAACCACCTCTGCTTCCAGAAACATGGCAACCCATCCGCCATTAACGTCGTTAGATTCTCTCTACTGCGAAGAAAGATGGGACGAAAGCTCCGAGCTTCGTGAAATTACAAGAAACACCCCTCCCTTTCTCCTCCCTGCTGTCTTCTCTCTGGCTCGGGACATCATGGTATGGGAAGAAGACGATGAACTTCTCAGCCTTTTCTCCAGAGAAACAGAGACCCACTTCTCCTCTGACCCTTCTCTGTCTCTTTCTCGTACGGTGGCTGTCCGGTGGATTCTCAAAGTCAATGCCCACTACGGATTCTCAGCGTTGACTCCAATCCTGGCCGTTAATTATCTTGACCGGTTCCTCTCCAGTCTGACCTATCAAGAAGACAAGCCGTGGATGATCCAGCTATCATCGGTCGCCTGTCTCTCCTTAGCTGCAAAAGTAGAAGAAATTCATGTTCCTCTCCTTCTTGACCTTCAAGTAAACATTCTTGAACCTTTTGGTTAACCTTTTGGAGTATCAATTTAGTGTGTTTGGAATTCATTCTTTTCTTTTTTAAGAACATGAGTAGAATCAGAGTGTGTTTCCCGACTTCTAAGAAACTATTTCTACCAGCCATGTACGTTTCACCCCTCAAAAAAATATTTCTACGAGCAAGGTAGATTTTACCCCTAAAATATTTCTCCAAATATTTCAATATCCGTTTAGTTTCTATGAAAGTTTAGAAGCGGCGTTAGATACAACAAACACACTACTTAGGGGTGTTTAGAAGTGATTCTTCTATCTAAAAAATAGAAGCAAAATCAGAATAAATTTTTCTTAAACTAGTCTCTCATGACCTCTAAAAAAACTACTTCTAAGAGCAATTTGAAGCACTCAAAAAACTACTTTTGCACTGCCATCCAAAGCAGTTTTGGGAAGTAGATTCAAATACCTCCCTCCGACTATGTCATAATCTTATTAAGTATTGAATATGTATCAAATATATTAGGTGGAAGATGCGGAGTATGTGTTTGACTCAAAAACTATACAAAAAACGGAGCTTTTGGTTCTTACGACGTTGAACTGGAGGATGAATCCGGTGACGGCGTTATCTTTTCTTGATCACATCATAAAGAGGCTGGGGTTGGACCATAACCATCATCTCCACACAAGATGCGAGAGATTGATTCTGTCTTTCTTGCCGGGTAATCATCTGATTTAATCAAAGATCCGATCTTTGGATATTAACAAGAACACCCACATTGTGTTTCAATTTTCTTGATTTGATCTTGATGTTTTAAATTAATGTAATCTGTGTTTATGTATTAATTAAGTTAGTGATCGGGCAGATTCAAGATTCGTACGTTATCTGCCGTCAGTGGTGGCCATTGCAAGTATGGTTCACGTTATACATGAAGTGGAGGCCAGCGATGCGGTTGACTACCAAAACCAACTCTTTTCTGTTCTTCAGACGAGTAAGGTGTGTATTGTGGGTCTATTTCTTGATAAGTCAACAATAAGGGCTTCTTTTATTATCTCATTACATCATTTCGAATTTGCTTTTAAAAAAAAATCAAATTTGCTTTTATTGTTTACTACTAGTAATTTTTTTGTTGTACTTTCCGAATAGAATAATTCAAGCTTCGGTTGGATTTGCGAAACCCAAAGCCGCAAACTAAACAGTGAAAATTTGAACTGTGAAAGCAAACGAAATTGAATAGGAAAACCAAACTGAATGACTGTTGTCGATTGTGGGTTCGGCTCTCGGTGCTCAACCTGGAGCACAAGAGTGCCACAAGGGTTAAGTCCGGAGTTCGAATCTCGGCAACTGCGATGATAGGTTACTATGTTAAAATGCATAGGGCCTCTGCAAGTATCGGGGACAGAGCCCCACTCAGGATAGAGAGTGAGACTCTGTCCCTGGTACTTGCAGAGGTCCTATTCATTTTTAACATAATAACCCTCGTCGCACAGTTGACGGGATTCGAACCCGCGACCTAACCCTTGTGGCACTCCCTTGCTATCCGTTGAGCTACACCAACATTTTGTTTACCCATTATATAAAAATGTGTCAAATTATATCTCTAATACTCTGTTATTAATTATGCGCATAACACCGTAAAAGAATGAATAATGAATTTAATAATTGAAAAAAATGTTTGTGTATTTGTATGATGTAGACATCTTGACCAATTTATTTATAGATATTAATTAAAAAGCTAAAACATTTGTTTTGAAAGCGCTAAATTTATTTCATGTTATGTGCTCCCTTTAGCCTAAGATTATCTTTTAGTCAAACTTGACACAAACATTAAAAAATGGAAAATGTGTGGTCTAAAAGTGAAGAGGAGAGAGAAATTGGGGACAAATGCTATGAATCACACATTGTTTATAAAAAAGAAAAGATAAAATAAATTAGAACGGACGAAAAAAGAAGAATGAAGATTATATTGGAAGGTAAGGAGTATAATATCCGAGGGGTTTTAACTCCTGAGGAACTAAGGCACGTAAATTTTATATATTGTGAGTAGATTTGACATGTTAACCGTATTTATTTTAGTTATTAAGCTATTAATTAATTTGGGAGAGGTGACACTATTAGTTATTGAGCTAGTTCTCGAACTTTTTATTTAATTTTTTGGTAGATCGATGACTCGTCATCATCATCATTACTCTAGTGCTGCAAAGGCTCCTAACTACGGTGAGGTAAGGGGGTCGGATGTACGCAACCTTACTCCTGTACTAAAGTACAAAGAAGTTGTTCCGAATGACTCATAGTGAAAATCGCGTCAAAAATTGCATAGATTGACTGCTGCTTCATAACAAAGAAGCGCATACAATTTAGTGAGTCATTTTACATTATTTCATCATATTCTCAAGCCAAAAAATGGTGCGTTTTTGGCTGCATTGCAAGTGATGGATTAGATCGATGACTCGTAAGTTACGAAATACATAGCATGTTAATTTTACTTCATAAGGATGACACACTATCTTTGAGGACCATAAACACTGATGAGACAATTAAAATTTTATTTTATAAGGACTACACTTATAAGGTGGATGCAGCACGTGATGCACCCATCTCCTAATAATAGTCTTTCTTAATAGTAGTAATATCGGGTGACGTAGGTCACCTGGTAGGAAGAAGGGCGCTATAAAGGGAGATGTCCTGTTCCAATTCCAACAATGACTTGGGGTGGAACCTTACTCTCTTTTCATTAGAGATCAAAGCTCAATTTACATCCTCTCAAATAACTGTCTGATCGGTTCTAGGATCACTTAGAGATGAGGTGTCATCATTTTTTTATTAGTAGTAATAATAAGTAATTTATATTGACATATTTTATTTGAATTCAAGTTTTTATTTGCTATGTAAATATTTACTATGAAGGGTGTTTTATCTTGATTTGCTCAGTGAGTCAGTGTGTTTCTGATGTTAATTTAGGTACACCCCCAAGATAACTTTAAGCTTTTCAAATTGGGCATTACATTCAAGTATTACTCTCTCCGTCTCACTAACAATGAGACAATAGAGAGTGACATTCAAAATAGTGTGTATTGCCACTTTAAGTCCTCCGACTATTATGTCATTGACACTTTTGGTACCCGACTTTGATATTTTACATTTTTAGTCCTCGACTATTGCGTTAGAGACACTTTTGACACTCGTCTTTGAAAATTTCCATATTTAGTCCTTCAACTTTCATAAAAGTGGCACTTTTGGTCCTTCAACTATTATAACATTGACATTTTTAGTCCTCCATTTATTGTGTCTAAATCATAATGGAAGGATTAAAAGTGTCAATTTCACAATAGTCAGGGGACTGAATGTAGGAAATCTTGAAGTCAGGGACTAAAAAAGTCTCTAGCACAATAGTCGAGGACTAAAAAGGGAAAAATTAGAAGTCAAGTATCAAAAGTGTCACTTACATAATAGTTGGGGACCGAAAGTGGCAAAAACTCTTCAAATTAATAAAAAGTGGTTTATATGGTTGATATTGAATTGATAAAGTAAGAATAAAATAAGAATGATTTAAAGCCACACAAACTATACCAATTTAGTATGAGACAATTTTAATGAGACAGATCGAAAAGGTAAAATAAGACAATTTAAGCTGGACGGAGAAGGTATTATAAATGGTTGGTTCGCTCAATTTTAGATTGGGAGATTTACCTAAATAGTAAATAGGAGTAAATAAAAGGATAATTGCAACAATAGGAGTTTAAAGTTTAAATTCCCAAAATAGGACTAACTCTTCCTATTCTACCCTTTTCTTTGTCCTTGAAAATAGGATTTTTAAACAATCATTATAAAATATAAAAAATTCAAAATAAAAAAAATAAAAATCGTAAAAAACAATTAAAAATATATAGACCTCAACCACCACCTCAGCCACCTTCCATCACCGCCACCCCCGGTCGCCGGAATAGATTGCCAAGTTGGGGAAAAATGTCATCATGATGACAATTTTGAAGAGAAAGCAAGAGAAAGCTGGATATTTTCAAAAAGTAAAAATGTCATCTTTATGGTATATTCAGAGAAATATGGATTTTTTTTACACAAGATGGCATTTTTTTCCGGCGATCGGAGCCGGTGCCCGGTGGTGCTGGGAGGTAGAGGATGCGTTGGCAGTGACCTACAAATTTTTTAAATATTTTTTAGGTATTTTATTTTTTATTTTTTGACTTTTTAAAAAACATTTAAATAATTTATTTATTATTTTTTATTTATTTTTTATTTTTTATTTTATATTTTCACGTTTTCATTATTGTTGTATAAATATTTTATTATTTTTTATATTTTTTATTATAAATAAAACTATGATTTTCTTATTAATAAAATAAATCTATTGGAAATTATAGAAAGGGGGTAGAATGAGAGGAAGAAACATGTATTAGTCCTATTTTGGGAATAAAAGGATTGTACTTCTATTGTTGAATTTTGGGCATATTTTAGTCCTACTAAGGGCTATTTCCCCTTTTAGATTTTATTAGCACTTTCTTTTTTATTCGTTAAAGGGATAAGGGTCAGATAGGTCCTCAAACTTTGAAAAAAAATGTCAAATAAGGCCGTATTTAGGATGCTCTGTCCGGCCGACGCTGTTTGGGACGGTTTCCGGTGGAATTTTTTGATGATTTTTTTGAGAATCTTATTCATTAAGTCTAGTTTACTCATATTAGGGATGGATTCGGGCCGGGTCGGGCCCGGGCCGGGCCTAGGCCCGGTCAGGCCGCCGGGTCAAGAAAAGTGGGCCCGGGACCGGCCCGCGGGTTGGACGGGTCCGGTTCAGGCCGGGCCACCCGCCCGGGTCACGGGTCGGGACCGTTTCGGGCCGGACTGGTTAATTTTTTTTTATATAATTTATATTTTATAGTTTATAGTTTTATACGAGTATTAAAAACAAACTTCAATTGCATTTATTTGAAATGAAATAGGAACTACATTTGAAAATTAAAACAAACTTTAAGAGATAAACATTTTGAAAATTGTAATCAATCGGAACTTCGTGCACCTCCCGATCCTTTGGTTTTGTCACATGACTTCATATGCTTGATTGCCATCCCGAATTCGCCTGAAGCCCTCATGATACATTTTTTTTCCGCACCATTTGCAAATTGCGTACCACATCCCGGTCTTCGGGTCCTTCTGCTTATCAAAATTATACCGTATAATGGCATTTTGATTTTCCATCTTAACTTCTTGGAGAAGAGAATATGAGTGTAGATATATAATATATTGGAGAATAAGAGAATTAGAGAGTAGAGAGTTAAGAATAGGATTTAGGAAGAATTGGAGAAGAGATATGAAAAAATGTTTAAGATTAGGAGTATTTATAAGTTTTTTTACCCTCCACCCCCCACCACCCACCACCACCCAACCCCCCCGGACCCCCCCTTTACCCCACCCAACGGCTATATAGCCGTTTGGGTTGTCCCCAGCCCCACCCCCAACGGCTAGTAGGAGCCCAAACCAATTTTTTTTTTTTTAAATTGAACCGGACCCGAGCCCGGGCCCGACCCGGCCGGGCCGGGTCACAATAATGCTGAACCGAGCCCACCCCGCCCCTTCCCACCGGTTCGGGCCCATACCCGGTCCCGGACCGCCCGACCGGGCCGGTCCCGGGCCCGCACAGTACCGGGCCGGGCCCGAACCGAATCCATCCCTAACTCATATCAAATTTGAAATAAAACTTCAATCGGAAAGGCATACAAATGAATTCTTGAAGATAACTGCGCAGTTAAAAGAGCAGTTATCTTCAAGAATTCATTTGAATGCCTTTCCGATTGAAGTTTTAGTTCAATTTTAATATGAGTAAACTAGACTTAATGAATAAAATTCTAAAAAAAAATTATCAAAAAATTCAACGGGGAACCGCCCCAAATGGCGTCGGCCGGACAGAACATCCTAAATATGACTTTATTTGACATTTTTTTCAAAGTTCGAGGCCTTATCTGACCTTATCCCTTCGTTAAAATTTTTATTTTACCAAAGAAGTGGATTAACCTAACCCCAAGAAATAAACCCACTAACGACGGTTCTAGACAAACATGGACAAAGTAAATGGACAGGGGGAATCCACCCCACTAATTGAAGCATTGAGAACACACATTAATAGTTACGAGTACATTATTTTATACTTATAGTTTTAAAGATTAATTTAAAAAGTAATTCACAAATTTAGTCCTTATAATTTTTTATACAAAAGCGTTTCACGTGTTAACTGTCATATATCATAAAAATTATCATTAATATGCTACATCGAGAAAATGAAATGAATCGAATATTTACCTGATACAAAATGAAGTTCGAGTTTTAGGCTCGGTAGATCAATTTTCGTTATGTAATTCGAACACTCTATAAGCTCGATAAACATGCTTGAATAAAGACGGTTAGACTATATATGCTCGTTAATAGATTCATATTCCAAGTATTCAATAAATACTCAAATCTTTAATGATCATTGACAAACTTATAGAACCACACAAAAAATGTTTAAATCTCAAGATATGTATTAGTTGTTCTTATAATTTATAAGTGTTAATAGGCTCTGGATCGAACTAAACATCACAATGCTTGAACCTGGCTTGAATAATTATTTTAACTAAAAATCTACTCTGTCGTTGAGTTTGAATTGAAGCTTGTTAAGCTCAAGTCTTTAAATTAGCTTCAAAATCAAGCTTGAACTCGGGTAGTTCAAAGATGTTCGGTTCGATAATTATAATCATCCAAAGTTAAACGTTGTGTGTAGGGATGACAACGGGACGGATCGGGGACGATTTACCTTCCTCGTTGGATAGATTCCCCGCCTCGTAACAGCCCCAATACCCAATGAGTAATTTTTACTCAAATCATAACTTTCCTAACGGGTAACGGGTATAACCGCGAGTAACTGCTTGATTAAATGAGTCATTGATATTTTAATATGTAAATAATATTTTAAAAAGCCAAAAATTGTATCGCATAGACGACTCTAGGCATCAAACACCACTTTAAAGTTTCGTACATATACAAGACGAGAAAGAAGACGATTTAAATTAATTTGAACCTAAAAACACTTAATCTGAAAATAATTGATCAGGAAAAATTTTGATAATAGTCAAACAAGACTATAAAAATCTATTATGAACTTTCGTTCATACACTATAATTAGTACATTCATATCCATATATACACAATGAAAAGAGAAAAATCTCATCTTTTAGTAGTTGTGGCTCAAATAATAGATAAAAATGTAATGAAAATATAACTAAACATAAATTTGGCGGATAATGGGGCATGCATGCATAAAACCGTAATCGCCCTGCTACCCGTGAAAACAAAACGAGTATTCTCCGCCTCGTACCCGTTACTCGGTCAATGCGGTTTTCCCCATTTTGTCATCCTTGTGTTTACTAACAATTTTTCTAGTATTTAACCCACGTGACCTTTAATTTGATTCATAGATCTACCCTGATTTCGCACGTATGACCCTTAGGCAGTGTTTGGTTTGAGGTAATATCCTATACACTGCGGAATCTGATGTCCGGGATGTGAGACTCCACTGTTTGGTTCGCGGGTTTGGTTTTTTTTTTGGGAACGCTACATTCCCAAAATTGAAAAAGGGAATGAGATTACCGGTCATCTCAAACCCGATAAGTCCTTAGGTTTTCTAAGATTCCCGCACTTCTATTCCAAAAACACCCAGGAAACATATTAAACATAAGGCCTTGGACAGTAGGTTTGAAATAAATCCTTCAATATACTATTAGAACAACTTGAATAAAGTCCTTGGACAGTAGGTAAGCTTTATTTTCCTAAAACATAAGGCCTTGGACAGTAGGTTTTTGCACTCTTTGCAAATTGCCTGCTATGATTTTTGAATGTTCCACATATTTGAGTAATATTTGAGTAAAGATGGGCTGTTTGGACATATTCTACTGTCCAACATATTGCTTAAAATTAATTCAATTAGTTTTGATTTTAATTATTACTAAGGTGTTTTATTTTTCTATAATTTTAATTATAGGTTGTAATAAGTTTAATGTTTTAAAAGACAAATATTTAAAGGGCATTTAAGTAATTCACCCAACATGGAATATAAGATATCAATCAACCAAACAACTTAATGTCACATTCCCTTAATCGTAACCAAACACAAATGAGTTACACATTAATCACATTCCCATCTATCTGACATACCCGATAATCTAACATTTCCACGGTAATCTGATATTCCGTGAACCAAACATACCCTTAACAGTTAGGAGTGTCATAAAGTCAATTGTTCCTCATGTACACGCCGGGAGTGAATACATGTTGAGGTTGTGTGTGTAAACACACAACTTTCATTGTTTGATTTTTTTTAGATGAATTGACTATATGTGTATATAATATATTTTGCGATTTTCCAACAAAAGTTAACCTCATCACGTAGGTTCAATTTTATATAGGAAAATTCTACGGTGCATCTCTAAATTTCGCATGTACGGTACATTTCTTTACGTAGGCAAATAAAACAATGTCACATGGACAATAAAATTCATATATATTTTAATTATTTCCATGTGCTAAAATATTATAGGTCCGCGTACGGTACAATCAAATTAACGGGTGCACCGTAGAACTCCCCTTTTATATATATACTCCGTATAATATAGTACAGTTATGACTTATTATATTACGATGTTTTACTTGTATATAATGTGCCTATCAACCATGCATGGCTCTCTGAAACTGGCAAGGTTAAGTTAAACATTTAATTTTGTTCTTCTCGACACTCACATAGACACACACAAACATGAAAACAATCATATTTGCGAGTTTCTGTGTGCATGTTTTTAAGAACGAAATTGATAAAGATAACGAAGTGAGATCAATTATGAGCCATGTTTTTGGGTTTATCAACTTTATCAATCAACTTTTTCATCAAACTTGTAATTTTGGATTTCGCATGATGTAATAAGTAAAGAGAGAATTCCTTAAATAAGAGTAAAAAAGTTTTGAAATTTTAAAATAGGACTATCATGTTTTTTTATTCCTTGAATATGAGTAAATTTTTGCCAAGTTTGTCATTACTAGGCATGAAAACATGACATTTTTTCCCAAACATGGCAGATTACTCCTATTCACGAAATAAAAAACATGATATCCTTATTTTGGAATTTCAAAGCGTTTTTACTCATTTTTAAGGTAATTTGTGATAATTAAAATAAGTAAGATTGAAGTTATTGTGTTGACTGCATGACTAAAGTAACTGTAGACAAGCATTTCATCTATTTTTTCATTCAATTTTTTTATATTAATAAAATTTATTTTATTTTTTTTATATAAATTAATAGAATTAGTCAATCCAACTATGTTAATGTTATTAAACTGGCTCATATCTACAAAGAAAAGATGTGTTATGTATACATCCTGATGACCATATGCTAGTAATTTACTACGTATTTGATTAAATACAAGACAAAAATCTTATTTTGGAAATACAAGAAAAGTAAATTCATTATTTTCTAATAAATCGTGTAACTTTGTTGGTAGATAAGATATGTAAAAAATATGGTTCGATGTTCAATTATATTGAATGCTACAACCTACAATGTTTTATAAACCCAGACTCGTATTCTAATTTTGATATATTTTGTGTAAATCTGGTTACTACATGGTCAGTGGAGGACCTAGGGAGGGACCTAGGGGGGCAAGTGCCCCCACTTTCGATTAGGAATTTCACTACTAGTACTTAGAGTAAAATCAATGTCCACGCTTGCGGTCAAGAATTTCACTACTACTAGTTCGGTTAAAATTAGTGCCCCCAACCCGTACAAAAAATAATCAATATTAGATAATTAAGATACTAAAATGTTACGGTTATATAAATTAAAAGTTAATGCACAATATTTAAATTTGAGTTGAATTAAAATAAAATATCTCAAAAAAGGAGAAGAAAATAGTTAAGCTTTTTTTCTTTTTATAGAAAATAGTTAAGGGTTGAAAACCCAAAAAGTTAAAATGTAAACGGTAACCACATTAATGTGTGGTCATCTTAAAGTAATCTAAAACAAGTAAAAGTTTAAAAATGAAATCCACTAATAACTCACTATTACTCTACAAGGCAAAAGGGGAAAAACTTCCAAAATATAAACCCTCACGGATGTTTACACTCTAGCCTCTTTCTGGGGTTTACCGTTGCCTTGCTAAACCACCTCTGCACCGCCGCACCGCCCAATCACCCGCTCATTTGTATTTTGCAAGTTTCTTTAGATGATTATCTTACATATTGCTTGATGTGCTACATCGAGAGAGATGTTTTTAAAAGTATTGGTAATGAAACTATTATGTAACATTTTCAGAATATGAAAACTCGTAGTATTGATTACCAAAGTTCTAGAAATTAAACTATATAATATGTAATTAACTACTCCGTATAATTTATGCTATTTCCTTACTTTTTACCATCTTTATTACATTTGAAAATTGTATTATAGAGTAAATTTAGTTTCTAGTGTCCCTTGTTCTGACAAATCTCTGGATCCGCCAGTATACATGGTCACATACTTACATTGTTATTATAATTACATTATTAGCATTTAAATAAGAATAATTTAATGAGGTTATTTTGACGAACGAAAAAACAGGAAAAAGTGAACTCGTGCTACGAGGTGATGAGAGAAGTGTCAACAAGGAGCCGTAGCGAGTGTCATCATCCCAGCAGTCCCAGTGGGGTTATCGATGCTGCGGCTTTGTGTTGCACCGAAAGCTTCTCCGACTGGTGGGACACGGCGTCGCCGCCGCCGCCCCCTGTCTACAAGAAAATGAGATTTCAGTGCTAGATGGTATGTGAAGTCCTGCGCCGCCGCCCGTCGACGCCATCATATGTCAGCTTGCTCTCCAGCCCAATTAAACAGTTCGGTTTAATTTTGTACTCCGTAATAATTTGGGAGTACGTATTTAATTAGAAATTATTCTGAGTAGGAGTAAAAACGTTTTGAAATTTCAAAATAAGACTTTCATGCTTATATTCCTTAAATAGGAGTAATTTTTGTCAAAATTTTCCAAACTTGGCAGAAACTGCCATTTTTAAAGATTGATAAATTTTAAACTTGGCAGAAATTACTCCAATTTATTAAATCAAAACATGAAAGTCTTACTCGTATTTTAGAATTTTCATAACTTTTTTATTCTTATTTATGAAGTTTTGTACTAACTAATAATTTGGGAGTACGTATTTAGTTGTATGGATTATGACAAGGGGTGAGTTCGGTTCTTTCGGTTCGGTTTTGAACTAAAACCAAATACGGAACCAAAGTAAAAGTTCGGTTCGGTTTCGGTTCGGTTTTACACTCCAAAACTTCAAACCACGGTTTGATTGGTTCGGTTTGTTTCGGTTCGGTTTCAATTTTTTCGTTTTTTTACTAAATATTTGTCATTTAATTTAAAATTGATATAAAAGTTGGAGGAATCAAACATATTACATAAAAATGCAAGCATACTTGAACAAATGAAGAAAATAATAATAAACAAATATGTCTTGAATTATATGAGTATGCGGGAGAGATAAAAGTGTGTATCTATTCTTAATTTACAATGTTCGTGACTAGTTTGAAAAACGTTTATGAATACATATGTCCTGTGTGATTTAGCCGAGATGAATATTTATTTGTTTTATTAATATAAAAAGTTAAGTTACAAAAAAGAATTGAGTTACATAAAAATAAAAGTTAATTACTACTAATAACTAGTAAAAACATATAATCATGCAACAAATTGCAACATACATACATAAAAGACATAATAGATCAATATAACTACATTATTATGGGCAATGAATGTGTAAATGCATTTATAAACTAAACTAAACATAGCATAAACATTATTTCTCTAGCACAAGAAATTCAAAGATTATTGATGATATTAAGATTAATGCTTACATTTAACAAATAAAATTTCATATTTTATTTATGTTCGGTTTGTTCGGTTCGGTTCGGTTTTGAAGGGTAAAAACCAAAACCGAACCAAACTACTACGGTTCGATTCGGTTTTTTACATTCGGTTTTGGTTTTTAATTGTTCGATTTTATTTGGTCGCGGTTCGATTTAATTTGATTCAGTTTTCGGTTTTCGGTTTTTCGGATCCAACCCTCATTATTAGGATCCAGCCCTAATCATGATGCACGGGCAGTATGTAATTTAGCTAATTTGAAATTTAATTTCTATCAAATCACATATATTGTGATTTAAAAGAAAAATAAACTTAGTCTAATATAGAGCCTGTTTGATAATACTAAAGTAAATAGAATTAACTTATTTTGCTGAAATTGATTGAATTCTGGTTAAATAGGTAGAATCTTCTGAATCATGAAAAATATATGTGAAATATATTCCATTTGTGAAACAAAGAAAAAAATATGTGAAAAAAAGTTAAATTGGTCTTCTACATAAGCATCTCAAGTAAACATAATTGTTATGAACCCAATAATAAAAAAAATATATATTTCTTAATTGTTAGATCTTACAGTTTACTCATTGATAAGAACGTTTTTAATTGAATTAACATTTCGGGTTTGATTTGGTATCAATTAATATGGTCTATTAGATGTCTGTTTTTTATGTGACTTATTGTTATAATTATTAAAGTTTGATCTGATCTGATTTAATCTGGAACTGAAATCAATCCAATTAAAAACACTCTATTAAAATAAAAGTAGGAATTTGTAAACCAATAAAGATATTCTAATTTGGATTAGGAATCTATTTCAAAAGTGAAAGCATATTCGAATTTTAGGTGTAAAATAAAGAAACAACCAAAGTTTTTACTTATTTGGCTAAGCTAAACATATTTACTTGTGAAAATATATATACTTTATGTTGGTTATAATTTTTAATTTCATTTTTAATTATTTACTTATTTGAAGCTTACTAATTTATTAATAGGTGTCAAATTAATAAGTAAACTAATTTGCATATTTGTTTCTATTTAATTCGGTGTAGTAAACTAATATAAATTAGTTTCCATATCAATAAACGTAATTAGAATTTCACTTTGATAACCAAAAATTATTTTACTTATTTGAAGCTTACCAAATTAATTAAGGTGGATTTATAAGGATTTTTGTTTCCATATCAATATGCAATCAAAAATAGAATCTAATAAAAACAAAAGATATAAAAATAAGTAAATAATTGTTATACATAATGGCATGTCAGGATTGTGTGGCGCTTTGTATGCTCTTAAAAAGTTTCTCTTATATATATATATATATATATATATATATATATATATATTGATTTAAACTAAAACGTAAATACTTTGAAACATAAAATATCGAGGATAAATATTTAAATTGAAAAAAAAACTTAAAACTTATAAAATAAATAAATCAATAAAAAGCCAAAATTAAAATTTATAAAAATACAAATTAAGAAATAAAAAGTGAATATAAATATACAATATTAGAGAGTTAAAATAATCAATAGTTAAACATATAGAAGTTCATAAAATGACAATAAAATGTAAACAAGAAAATAAACATGTAAAAATGAAGGAAAAAAAAAAGAAAACTAGGAAAAAAATTCCTCATATTGAAAATAAAATAAAATATGATAGGAAAAAATAGAATTACAAATTAATTTTAAAATTTTAATTTTTATCGACAATTAAAAAGTATAAATAAAATTTAAGAAATACATAATTCAAAATTGCTAAATAGATAAAATGTAATGAATTCTTATGTTTTGTTTCCTATTGTTTATATTTGTTTGGTATTGTTTATTTTTGTTTCTTGCTAATGGTTTTATTATATGGAATCTTGTCACTATAGAAACTCTTTGTTATGACATAAAAAAATAATGACAACAAGAATAAAAATATAAAGAAAAAAACTAATCAGGCATTAATCAATGATGAACAAAAAGCAATAAAATGCAACAAAAAGTAACAAGATGCAACAAAAAGCAACACAATACAACAAAGTGAAACAAAAAGGAAAAAACAACATACTCTGTATAATATACACTTACTTTTTTTTCTTCATATTCATGATCAGAATTACAAAAATTATTACTACACAATATATAAGTGTACAAAATAGATTAGATAAGACTTTTCTTTCATAAATAATCCTTAAGCAACATGATGCAACAAAAAGCAACACACAGAATGCAACAACAAGAAACAAAAAACAACAAAAACAATATATAGAAGTATCACTTGACACAAAATATATAACCCGGTCTTTTATATTATTTGACTTTACATCACATCATTCATTATTCTTTTGAGGCATCTTGACACAAAGTTCTTCTTACTTGACTCTCTTGTCTTAGTATTCTTCGTTAATCTTCTTACTCTTTTTACAATCTTCATGTAGTTCTTTTTCTTTTATGTGCCTGCAAAGAGATCACAACCACTATGACACAAATTTGACAACAAAGTAAGCAAATGGAATATTGGAGCACATAAGATAACATCGATGAAGGATAGAGACAAATGCAATTATATTGAAGCATAAAATTGTTTATCAGTATGGTTGCTATTAACCTGACTATGGTGCACTGTACAGTGCAGTACTAAACTAGAAATTTTACTAGACTTTTTCAAATGCTATGAGTCATGTTGTATTGTCCATAAAAGGGTGGTGTGGGTTAGGTGTTGCAACAGAAAGTATAAAACTACAAATAACATATTCCTTGTCCTTGAAACTTTTTGTCAAGCTTTGACTAACAGTTTATACAAGAGAAAAAATGATATTATTGGTAATTTAGTTAATTTGAAATGAGAGGAGAGTTTTTTTGGCAATGTTTAGTAAGACGTAGACAAATATGGATCCATATCATGTAAGAACACATCAGATACTCACTCTGATTACTCCATCAGAGTAATGTAGTAAACATCTAGGGTCTTGCAAGCATCATCAAACTACATACAGTGAAAATCCTATTGAAGTATAAAATTTACAGCTTCAAATACTTTTATGGTACATAGGGCATTAGTATGCATACTATGTAGTATATTTCATTTTAATGAAATCCAATATATTTCCCATCTTCCCACTATTTTAATGAGCCTCCAAAAATTCTGGAAGAGGATAAAAAAATGCAAAACAAGGTCAGCAACTACACACGCACACACACCTAATCTTCAGGGCTTGGGAAAGTTCAAATCAAATACTCCCTGAGTCCCAAATTGTAAGATACATTTACTATTCACTTGGTCTACATAAATCACTTTTAATCTTTTACTTTATATAGCAAAAGTTTATGAATTTCGAATTACTTTTTTTAGGTTTTGTAGCGGTTTTAATGTAGTTTCTGAATATGTAAGTTTTATTTTCTAAAACTAATTTGAGTGTTGACATGGATCAATTTGCTCTATCGTCAGTCAAACATCGTAAACCGTAAAGTATCTTACAAATTGGGACAAAGGGAGTATGATTTTCCAGAAAAAAGATATTAAAAGAGAAGAAATTTGAATAAGACTAAAAGTTCAAATAAAAAAATCAATGAAATTCAGGTCACTGAGAAAAGCTATCGCTACATTTGGAAATATCAGATAAAATTGAATCTAAGAAGAAAAATATGATAATTGAGCTTACATTAAGATTAAATACTAGATTTCATCGCACATGAACAATATCGCAAATAAAAATATGCGATCTAAACCCAAAAAGCTACGAACAAAGCAATAAACCAACTCATATTGAAGACATAGTGATTAAATACACACCAGAGCAGCCAAACAAGCACGCACGGAGGGCGTAGGGCGCAGGGCGCAACTGGCGCAGGACGGAAAGAGTAAATACACATTGGAGCAGCCAAATATGCAAGGGCATAGGGCAAATGGCGGAGGGAGAATGGCGGAGGGCGAAGGATGCAACCGGTGAAGAGCAGAGGGCGAAGGGAGCAACCGGCGATGAGATCGTGAGAATGAGATTGGGGATGAGGTCGTGAGAGTGATTTGAGTTATTTTTGAAATAAAACAAAATGAAAAGATGAAAGTTAAATATGAAAAGTAAATTATTAAGGGACAAATGAAATGCATTTGGGAAAAGTGGATTTGATGGGATATTTCCACTAAAAAATATTGTCACATCATCACCGGCTAACACTTCGTATATATATTCATCTCCGTCTAAAAAATATATTGATGGGATATTTCCACTAAAAAATATTGCCACATCATCACCGGCTTACACTTAGTATGTCATAGTTAACGTAATGATGACTTGTTATCAACACCATGAACATCACCGTCTTATTATCATAGTGCCTTTGACATGCTTACTCGACAAACCGTGAGGGAAAATATCGCTGAAAAATTCAATCATGATATGCATGTACTTTGTATGTTC